AGAGAGAGAGAGAGAGAGAGAGACACACACACACAGACAGGCAGACAAACAGACAAATGGGCAGACAAAAAGACAGACAGCAGATGGCCAGAGGGGCAGACAGATAGACAGACAAAAACACGGACAGAAACACATATAGACAGACAGACAGACAGACAGACAGACAGAAAGACAAGCAGGCAGAGAAAAAGTCAGACTGTGAAAGTAAACTGACAGACAGATAGGCAGACATACAAACCAACAGACAGATAAACAGACAGACCATCAGACAGACAGACACACAAGACAGATTCAGTCCGTTCCCTTTCCCTCTAACACAGGAGTGTCAATATGTGAGAACACCTTACCAGCCGGCACCTGACATAGGAAAGCTTGTCTATAGGGAGAGTACAGTTCTGTCCAGCCGTCTTCTGTGAGGGTCACTCCTGACTCATAACCATCTGACTGGTGGTTCTTTCCAGACACCCAGCCTGTGTAATCGCCATTTTTCTGGGGCACAGAGTTTAATTGAGAGGAAAGGTTTCACATCGCATCAACAATATCTTGTCTTGTCTGTCTTGTCTTGTCTAATCTTATTTTGTCTTGTTTTATCATATCTTATCGTATCTTATCTTATTTCATCTCATTTCATCTCATCATTCTCATTTCATCTCATCTCATCTTATCTTATCTTGTCTTACCTCATCTTGTCGTACTTTAATCTGAAATTCTGGAATGTTCTTTTTTAGTAAGAGTTTTATGGCACTTGCAACACAATAGGCTGATGTCATATAAGTGCCGAAGATTAGAGGTGTTACAAGAGAGTAACATACACTAAAAGAAAAAGAAGGAGAGATAAGGGCAATAGATGTTTGACAGGAAAGAAGGCGCAAACCATACCAGAGCACCCGCCAACCTCCCACAGGAATGTTCTGACAAACATTTAGATACCGGTACTTGTATTATTAGGCTTAGTTCTTTAAATCTGAAAACGAATGATTTCAACCGACTTTTAAATGAATTAAAAGATTCGATCTCTCTTTAATTACCAGGCAGTGCCTTCTAGATCTTGGGGACATGAAGAGCAAATGCCCTTTCACCCATTGTTCTGAGTTTCATTGAAGGTAAAAGTAACAAACAAACAAACAAACAAACAAACAAACATATAAACAAACAAACAAACAAACAAACAAACAAACAAACAAACAAACAAACAAACAAAAGACAGGACGTTTCCAATAAGAATACCAGTCTCTTGCCGTCTTCCCATATGTACAATCCATCCTTGGCCCGGTCTTCTAGGCCGATCCACACAGCGTCTAGTCCTGACTCTTGCAACAACTCTGAACAACAACAGAATAGCTCTAATCATTGTGTATCTAGCTTAATTTAAAACACTACTATTGTTAATAATAATTGTTCATTTATAGCATGTGTGTGACTGTGAGTACAAGCATATCATTATTGTGTGTGTGTGTGTGTGTGTGTGTGTGTGTGTGTGTGT